AACACTGGTTTCTCTGGCTATTTGAGTAAATAAAAACATAATACATTTAACACATTTAAATGTGAATTTGCCGTCCACCACTGAACTCTCGGCCACCCTTTTTTTTAAATAAAAATGCTGTCGTCACCCGCGCAATGATTTATGGGGTAGGATCGGGTAGGATAGTCCGCGAAGTGTCCAGTTATGTATCCTTCCTTTCACGGGGAAACGAAGGGTGCATTTGGCGTTGCTTTTGAATCAGGTAAGCCTTCGCCGCGCTGCAATGACGCAACCGGCCTTCGAATACGGCCTTCGGAGGATGCATAACTGAATTGGGACAGCCTTCATCCCACCGCGATGACGCAATCGGCCTTTAAATGCGGCCTTCGCGGATGCAGCCTTTGAATTGGGACGTCCTTCATCGCGCGGCTATGACGCAATCGGCCTTCAAATACGGCCAAGCGTCCTTCAAATACGGACTTCGGAGGATGCAGCCTTCACATTGGGACACAGCTAATAGGTATAACGACAAAACGTCTTATACTCATTAAAGCGAACACATGGCTGAGTGGTAGAACATAGGCCTATGGTTCCTACTTTATAAAGACATGGGTTCGGAGCTTGATCAAACATGGATTACTAAAGTTATATTTTATATTTAGGCTATTAATGCAGAAAGATTTGTTCTAAAACTCTATTACACCATTAAGTTTTTTTGTTTATATTTATAAAATAAAATTACCATGCATTTCTATTTTACACTAAGGAACAAATCTCTTCCAACAGATTGACTGAATTAACGTCTCAGTAAAAAAAACTTAATGGGGTTCCATGTAGAATTAAAAAAAACCATCCCCCCTCCACAGTAATCAATGCTATAATTAGCCAAGACCATATATATATATATATATATATATATATATATATATATATATATATTTTTTTTTTTAAATATGCAACACGCATGTTTAAACAACAAATAATAAAATCTGAACCAGCGCTTCTGCTCCTGTATTGTGAGATGTCAGTTTTAGTTTCAGTGGCCTTAATACATTAATTCACGGCTTTTTAAAATGTCACGAATTGTTTTGAGGTGGTTTTGAACGAAATATTGAAATATTGAAGTTTATAATTGAGTATTTTTTGACACACCACGCCCAGTGAAGGCCTATTCTAAAATCAGGTTTTATTCTGGCATTAATTGTGTTCGACAAACACGGCGGTGCTCACTTGAATTTATTTTTCCCATAACAGCTCAAATAAAATCATTTTTTAAAACTGTAAAAAGAGTAGGCCTACGTTTTCATGTAAAGTAGGCTTACACTCACAATAGGTTAACGACAAAACGCAGAAACATATGTTTGGGTATTTCTTCGTAAGTGAACACATGGCCGAGTGGTAGAATTTACCGTTAGAAAATGATAATTACATGGGTTCGAAGCCAGATTTAACATGGATAACTGTAGTTAAATTTTATATTTAGGTAGGCCTATTTATGCAGAAAGACTTGTCTAGTTCTAAAACTGTTACACCATTTATTTTTATTTATTTTTTGCTTGTATTTATGAAAAAAAAAATATATATATTTCCATTTACACTAAGGAAGGAATACAATAGTATCCAACAGAATGACTTCTTTACATCTATAATAATACCAATCGTAATTTCAAAAGCAGTTCCGTAAAAAAGTTCTTTTCCAAAACGCTATAAATCCATTTCAATATATCGGAAAATATTTGGAGTGGGTCAGACATGATTTTGACCACCAATTAAGTTTTGTTTTGTAGAAAGCTTGTAAATTTCGTTTCGGATAAATTGTTTCTTCATTTTAATAAATGTTTCATCAACAAAATTGATTGGATTAATACATTAGAATTAAATATCAGACAATATAATCAGGACACAGAGGCGCGTCTCTAACTGGAGCGCGTCTCATATATGAACCGAAACACCGTGCCTCTCAGACCTGAGAACTAGAAAGCTTTAAATGTCTACTTTTAAACAAAACAATTAAAAAAACGAAAATAAATTGGCAACTCTCTGCGTAAGTAGGCTAATTCGAAGTAGCCTATGCGTTTAGGCCTATGCGCGTTTACTGCGAAGATGGCGAGTCAGCATTATCAACTTTATCTTTGCTGCTGACACCGACAGAAAACACTAGTTTACTAGAGTTTAGAGCAGCATGTTTGCAACAATAACAGTCAAACAGAATGTAAGCCCTGTGTGTGTGCATGTGGAGCTGTGTGTGTGCGTCACACGTTAAATGTTTTAGAATGTAACACAACGTTCAAATGCAAATATGCGCCCTCCCCCACTTGAAAGGCCATGTGTCCACCAAAGCGTTTTTCCACACGCCTGGCGTATATGTTTTCAATTGTTTTCAATGGGAGCGCCGCATTTTTTTAAACGCCATGAGCTTACCTAATCAAAGCAGCTCCTGAGATTAGGCTGGCGTTTCTAGTGTGTCGTTTTTTCTTCGAACAATTCAAGAACAAGGCTATAGGCTACAAATTGAGCATGGTTTATTTTTTGTAAAACTTTAAAACTGGCCTTTACATTTCTTGACAAATCCTCGGTAGCTTTTGTTTGAAGACATTCAATTGCTCCAAAAACACTAACGTTAGAAACATAACTGCACTTTATCACAACGGATTAATAAACCGTACCCACAAGTTCCTAATCCGTGCTCTCAGATTTGTAAACCTTGCCCTCAGTTTTTGCAATCTGTACCCACAAATTCATAAACCGTGCCCACGCTTTCGCAATCTGTTATCACGGGTTTGTAATCCGGACTCACGGATTTGTGGCTCGTCCCCCACAAAGTGCAGATGGAAGTGTGCCACATGATTCAAACAGGCCACCTGTTTAGATGCGGGATGCATTGCATTGTTTTTAAAATCCTTTTTTAAAATGGATAATTTCTTGCATTTAAAAAAAAAACAATTTAAAATAATCTAGCATTTCTGGTCATACGGAAAAAAATACATAATACATTATTTGCAATTTTTATTTGTGTAAACTCACAATAACAAGAAAACGTCGTTATTTTTTCAGACACATTTATTATGATTAGCCTATAAATCATCTCTCTGACATACTCTTCTCATTTAGCACTGCGGGCAAAATATAGTTTTTAGAAAGTAAAATATGTTTTTTTTTTTTATTAATTTTCGAATATTTTAAATGTTTAATAAAGGCAAAAAGTCAATGTTATTTATTTTTTGTTCACAAGCACAACTTGGATAGCCTATGCGTCAAAATCTTTTGTTTATTTGTGATAATCTCAGCCCTGTTTTATTATTATCTTATCTGTAGGCCTATTATGACTGACATTTGACGAATTGCTTTGTTTCTTTTTTTGATAAAAGCGTCTATCTAAATATGTAGCCTAAATGTAATAATAATAGCATATTATTATTAGGCCTATTATTTGCGTTTTTTTAACTTTAAATGAGTTTACTTAAGACAGGAATATGTTAGTCATAAAACAATTTATGAATTTATATAGGCCTATAACTTTGTGTTTGTGTTAGGCTATATTTATTTTTTATTTTTTTGTATGTGAAGTCCTTTTAAAAACAAAGCATTCCACATCTAAACAGGAGGCCTGGTTGAATCATGCGGCACATTCTCGGGGACGAGCCACAAATCCCTGAGTCCGGATTACAAACCCGTGAGTACGGATTGCGAAAGCGTGGGTACGGTTTATGAATTTGTGGGTTTGTGGGTTACAAATCTGTGTATTGATATACTACCACTGAAAAACATTCTCGGTTTTGATGAGGGTAACAAAAACTGTACTAGTGCGGATTAGAACCCAGAGAATCAGGGACACGTTGTGTTTTAATTTGTGATTTCACCGGAACAAATGAAACCTCCACAACGGATTGCAGCGCGCGTCCGATTGAAGACAACACATTTCAGCGCTAGATCGCCTTGAACGAATGAAACGAATGCTGTTAGCTAAGATTTCGAACCTGGCAAAAAGTGGTGGGGACATGTCCCACCCGTCCCCAAGTACGCCTACAGGCTACAGTGTTAACCTTGAATTTATCTGCGACCTCAGCTCTCAATGAGAAGTGGCAAATTATGTCGGACACTTTAAGTAAATAAACAGTTAATAAACTCGCTAATAAACAGCTACCTATTTAAGCTTCAAGAACGGTAAAACATAAAAGCTGTAGGCCAACAGCATGTAACGAGATTCGATCTCGCATCGTTTGGAGGTCTATGAGGTTGAGGATGATGCGTTAACCACACAGCTATCGTTCTTCTAGGCATTTTTTTCTTATACGATTGTAAAGCCTCATTGATGTAGCCTAATATGTTTCGACTGCAATGTTTTAAGGTTTCATTATTTTTTCAATTTAATTTCAGTATTGTGATTAATTAATTAATTTAACTACGTTTCACTTGAATAATCTGCTACCATCTTTCAATCGCTCTGAAAGAGCCGCGGCTCAGCTGAAGATTACACGAGAAATGGACACTTTTCAAAGTCTGTGATTGTAGCGCCTCTTAGCGGCCAAAGGCAGCAAATACTGTACACCTCAACTTTTACTGCCGCGGCAAAACTGCGGCGGTAAAAACCACATTCTGGTTGTCTACCTACTGTATCTGTTCTTCATGTACATTCATTTTCTGCTTTTTTTTTTCTTCCGGCTCTGCACTAATGTTGATGCTTAAATGCTTTCTGCGCTTCTGGGCTTACAGTTCATGCTGCTCTGCTGTGCTTACAGTACTTGCCGTGCTGCTGTAATTGCTGCGCTGCAGTGCTTACAGTACTTGCTGCTCTGCTGTAATTGATGTGATGCTGTGCTTGCTGTTCTTGCTGTGCTTGTAGCTTGATGTATTTGTTCTACTTGCGGTGCCTTCCAGGGCTTGTATATATATATATATATATATATATATATTGGGTATTTTTGCTTAATTCAGAGGTTCAGGTTGTACTTTCTGTTGTCATACCTAAAGTATTCGATTCTATTCAAATTTTAAATAATTCCTTCTGATTTCACCCACAGCTGGAGAACTACATTCAGGAGAACCTCAAACAAGACATGGCCCAAATTCAGAATAACGCAGTGCAAAACCACACAGTGACCATGATCAAGATTGGGGCCAGCCTCCTTAGTCAAACAGCAGCGCAAACACGGAAAATCACTACTGTTGAAGCACAGGTAAGGGGTTGAAACTTTAAGTAATTCAGCTGGCTAGATTTGGTGGGTTCAGTTTCAAAACCTAACAGCGTCAACGCTAAGTTATTTTATTTTTTTTTAACTGGTCCTGTTTGGCCAGTGGTTTACATTTACTTTTTTTTTTACTGGCTCTATTTTTGTTGTATTTGACCCATGTTACTACACAATAAAAAAGTTTGTAAATAAAAATAAAAAAACACACCAAAAATGTAAATACTAGTGAAATTTCTAATACTTGAAATTTCTAATACTTTTTAAAACGAATAAATTGCTGGTAATGAAGCTTGTATGTCCAGCTTCGGCTAAATGGGAAAACCACACAGACAGGCTTCAGATGCTGATCCCAGGTTGTGTTGGGATCATGTGGCCACAACATAAGGATGTTGTTACTCCAATTAAAATGTACCCTCTTACAATCTCTGTGATCTCCCACTGAATTTTTTTGATCCCTACAAACTAACACAGTCGTAACCAGCCACGACAATCATATTTTAGAAACAATTTCTATTTGCAACGTCATGGTTGGAACAACAAATCATGATTATGTGCTTTATTGTGAATTGAATTTGAGTTTGAATATAATTTTGCATGACCTTTAGTCATTCTGAAAGCAACAATGGATAATTCACTACAGATTTGGAAAATAATTTAACCAAAGTCAATGTGAACAAACAAGTGTATTCTATGACAGATTGTAACCTCACACTTTGGTAACACTTTACAATAAGGTTCATTAGTTAACTACCGTGTACATGTACTAATGTACTAACATGTACTAAGAACAATACTTGAACAATACTTCTTCAGCATTTATTAATCTTAGCTAATATTAATTTCAACATTTAATAATATTTATTAAAGAGCAATAAATAAAGAGCTGGGATTTGTTATGATTTTGTTGCTACTTGTAACTGATAATTCTGATTTTGATGATCTTACTCTAAATTAATCGTTGTTCATGTTTTAGTTTTTCGTGCTCAATTTCACGCTGCTTTGCCAAATCACTAATCTTAAGTTATGTTTTCTAACGAATTTCGCATTCTTCTATTTTCCTTGTGTTCAGCACCCTGCCTTAACATCTCCTTTGCATGAACCTGCTGTAATCCCAATATATATTTTTGCTGTTCAAATGATTACTCGTTAAAAACTGAAGTCTCTGTGATCCAACACCAGATCCTGCTGCTGCCTTTTCAAACACAAAGTTATGACTCCACAATCAATTCTTTGTATTTATTGTATTCAATTCTTCAATTGTATTCTATTGTATTCAATTCTTAAATTTATTTTAAATCAGTGTTAAAAAACAGAAAAAAATTGGCACACCGAAAAACTAAAAAAAAATATAACTCTTCTGTTTTCCCAAGAGTTCTGCCTCTTAAAGCATGTAATAGTGCTGGTGCAGATGTGAACCATCTGTTCAGACCTACAACCACGGTCATGCACTCAACCCAGGAATACACCAAAAAACAACAAACAAACATACAATGCAAGATTTGGTACAACAGGGAGCAATAACAACCTATTCAATCTGAGCCACATTGACTTGGTCTGAACTTCAGTGCACACATGCTTGTCATAAGTGCACTTGATTTACTCCACTAATTACCCCCAATTCAGAGTTGTAGCATGATCACAAACACAGTCATGATTTTCATCACAAGGGGACACTTGCAGAGGAAAGCAATGTTATTATCTCTAAAATATCGCAGAGAACCACTAAATTATTAAGGTGGTTTTATAGTTAGAAATCAGAATTCAATGTACATGTTAAACCCAAGATATTTGTATAGGTGCTTTAAGAATCTTTCATTTAATGAAACCAGGAAGACCACAACAGCTAAAAAAAAAAAAAAAAAAAAAACCTAGAAAATTCCTTCAGTGGAGGGAATTTGCTTCACTGACAGAAAGAGAATATGGAAATACTCATGGTATGCTGAGTCTTCTCTAAGATGCTTTCTGTTGGAAACACAATGTCTATTTTCATCTTTAGGTAATTAACCAAACAACTCGACTTGAACGTCAGCTTCTTGAGAACTCAATTTCAACCAGCAAACTGGAAAATGAAATTCTGCAACAGATAAATGAAATCCAAAAGCTGAATGAAAAAAACAGGTAATAATATTAATATAATATTAATTGAGCTGTTTAGAAACACTTTGTCTCTCCAAATTCTGGAGGAAGATCTATTCAAGTCACAAACATTTTTATAGAAACTTAAATTCACATTGCTACTCACTCCATTCATAGAGTTGAAAAACCACTGTCTGGAGGAAAACAGTGTTTTTCAAAGCTCAATCTCTTGGTTCCTCTTAGTTTTCTGGAAAAACGAGTGGAGGATATGGAAGGCAAGCGAAATACAGAGCTAGAAAACTTGGAAGCGGAGAAGGAACAGCTCAAGAAGCTGGTGGAGAAGCAGACTAGCATCATAAAAGAGATGGAGCAACAACTGCTCCGCACCTCCTCCGAAAACTCCGCCATGAAGAAGCAGCAGCAGGAGCTGACAAATACAGTCAACAACCTAATTCACACCATCTCTGTGGGTAAGCACGGTGGGGTTTGCATCAGTATTTCAACCGTTATCACACATGGGACCTGGGGCAAAATAAACTCCAAAAACAATATTGTGCCAGACAGTTCACCTATAATATTATGCAGCTTTTCAAATGTTTGGGGAAAAGGCTAGACCGCTAGTTAGGCAGAGACAGATTACAGAGAAAGATAAGAGATTGTTAAACACAATATACTTTGTCACGGTTCAACGGTTTCAGTTAAAGACCTTTAAGGCACTAGTCATCATGAAATTATTTACTCAAAACTTCTTAATTAATTGACAGTAACTTTGTAAAATGAATAGAAAACTTTATCAGTAAGGATGGACAGTGTGACCAAAATCCAAAAAATAGTTCAAACAACTTTGTAACAACTTTGGAACTAATAAATATTACAAATATTCAACTTTTCCCCAACTAATAACGGTTTACAAATTATAAATCATGTAGTAATTGCAATTTTTGGCACACTGTAAAACTGAAGAGTGAAAATATAGCTGCAAACAGCAATTACAGGCCCAAGCCAGTGGCATCGCAAGGTTCTCTCTGTCAGTTAAATTCATTCTGAAACGCGTCCAAAAATTAACTGTAAGTAAATACTTGTCACACAGGCACGAAAGATTTTTTGTCATGAAGCTGAAATTCTCTTCATTTAAATGAAGTAATTTATATATAAAAAACAAATATTCTCAGTTTATGTAATTTGTATGAAAAGAGAGAGATGTCAGTCTTTTTCCTTTCAGCTAATTATAGCGTATGACGTGTTAATATGACCCTGCCCACTGAGAGCGTGCGCTATTCAAACACTAATGTTGAGGCAAGCCATGAAAACACCCACATCAGCTGGATAAAACATCCAAAAAGTTACCTCAGAAGTGCTGGTAGCAGTGTTGTAGTACTCGAGACTCGGACTCGTCTCGGACTCTGTCTCGAGACCATATTTTAATGGTCTTGGTCTTGTCATGGACTCGGAATTGACTCGTACTCGAACATTTTTTTTTTAGGACTCGGACTTATTCCCGAGTCCACTCGAGTTCAATTAAAAATATTTTTCATGATTAATAATGTATGTTAATAAAATATTTCTTTAAATTGATTGACACGCCCAGTGATTGGTGATTTTCTAGTGCGCAACTGCGCATGACAAATTGTAATAAAATTACTTTTAACACCACCTACTATGTGGCCTTTTTACCCTAAACTGATCATATTTTTTAAACTCTAAGTAAATTCAGTAAAAAAAAAAAAAAAAAAAAAAAAAAAGGATTTCTCTAAGTAAATAAAAGTAAATTAGGTAATCAACCCTCACTGGTCTCGGTCTCGACTCGGACTCGACCGTCTCTGGTCTCGGACTCGACTCGGACTCGACTCTCTATGGACTCGGTATTGACTCGGACTCGACTCTCTCTGGTTTTGGTGTCGACTCGGACTCGAGTGAGGTGGTCTCGACTACAACACTGGCTGGTAGTTTCATTTCGAGGAGCACGGATCCAGCTGATGAAGTAAGTTTATTCTTAACCCCAGAGGTCGGCTCACACGCAGAAAAATAGACTTAAAGTACTATGTAAAAGAAATATGTAAAAATAAACGGTTAAATTTTTACTTTTTTATGTGCCCACCTACAATTGCAGTAGCAGTTTTAGACATGGGCAAACCGGGCAGTCGCCCGGGGCGGCATTTCTTCATGTCACATGGGGGCGGCACGAGCAGTTAAATAAATCCTCTGTGCCGCGAAGGTTTTCTATTTTTTATCATTTGGATTCAATTATTGGCAATGGCGCCCTGCTTGCTGAGAAGGAGCCGTTCACAGAAGCGATGTCAAGAGGGTCTCCTGATTAGTTCACGCATCACGTCTTTTGCGTGCTTAAGGTCATTATTTCCAATAGGTGCACACACGGGAAGCGTGCTCAATATGCGCTCACGGGAAGCGCGCTCATAAACTTTTCAGCACGTGCACCCAAACACTTGGGTGTTTTTCTCTTCTCCGTAAATAAACCTTTTTAAAGAGCTACTACAGCAAGCGTTTTTCTGTGGTGGAAATACATTAGTTACTAAAACTTCTTTGTCATTGTGGAGAGCACAGTGCATGGTTGTATAGCAACGACAGCCATGGGGAAATTGGACCGAATTTTACTATTAATAATAAAAGATAAGCCACTGTGCAAATGTCAGGAATATATCTTTATTGACTCTTTTTTGATTCTTTTTATAGAGATGATTTAAATGCTGAAATATGAGGTTTATCTTTTTATAAAATCTTTTTTGTGTCAACCTTTTTTTAAGTTTAGTAAGTAACATAAAAGACACTCCTTTAAAACAAATCTTTAAATGTTATTAACTTGGTGAATTGATTTCACTGTGTAGGCTATTAGGCTTTTTGAACAAGATTCTATGTATGTGATCATTTTGGTCACTATATTCATGAAATTAAAATAATTTTCATAATGATCAACTAAAATCAACTTTAATTAAAGCTGCAAGCAGCGATGGGCGGGCCCTCGCACCTGTAGCGCGTCGGGCTGTGAGGCGGCCACATTGCATATTCTGCAGCTCAACCAGTGTGGTTGTGCATTTGCTACGCTGCTTCGTTAAAGGTCACTTCCTGTTGCCAGCAGGTGGCGCTATGACTGTGGGTGAATTTCGGCATGTAGATTTGTTCGGGGCAGGACTCTTGTCAAATGTGTAAAATTTCATGCAGATCTTGGCATTTACAGCCAAGTTACTACAACTTCCTGTTTAATGGCGAATCATCGACGTCACGGACACACCAATCGACGAAAACGCGCAGATAGCACAACTTTACATCGTCAATGCCTTTAGAAGGCACAGTAGAAATTCGAAGTCGATCCGACTAAATCCCTAGGAGGAGTTCGTTAAAGTACGGAGTGTGTAAATCGTCCCAATTTGGTCGCCGAATTCAAAATGGCGGACTTCCTGTCGAGTTTAGGGTATGGGTTCTAGAGGCTTTTTTGTGCGTCTTGAAATGATACACGTCCCCACCAAATTTCGTGCATGTAGGTTGAACGTGGACGAGGGGCTAATTTTTTCCAATTTTCTAGGTGGCGCTAGCAAGCCATTTTGCCCCGCCCATCCGCGAAACCCACAAAATACGAAATTTATCACCAGTCCTGACATGAGTGCCAAATTTGGTGAGTTTTTGAGCATGTTGCGGCCCCGAAAATGGCGCTTACTTTGCAGAAAAAAAAATAAAAAAATAAAAAAAAATAATCCTAACAGTTTCAATAGGGTCTTCGCACTGTTAGTGCTCGGGCCCTAATTATGTGTTTTTTTTTTAACAGTAGCCTATAATATGCAAAATACAATGTTCTATTTTCTTAATAATCTATGATTCTGTCTATTTCTCTGACATTTTAAGAGTGACATAGGGCTACAAAAGGTCTATAACAGTTTGGATAGTTGTTAATATGAGAGCTGTTAAAAATTATTTAAGAGATTAATTATTTTGTTACTACATAAATATCTCTCTGACCCTTTCACTTTTAAAAACTTCATTTCGTGACAACGTATAGTTTAACAACTCATAACTAAAAGTGTGCCATGCATATAATTCAAGGCAGTAACCAATGTGCTAATGGTTCCTCCCTTGAAAGTTAGATTAATCTAGCAAAATAACTGGATTCTATTAACTGTGTCTTTCAAATGAACGGTATGTGATTTTATTGTTGTGTTGTTGTTGCTGTTGTTTTTTGTTGTTGTTGTGCTGTCGTTGCTGGCGCTCGAAGGTGGTCTCGCCCTGGGTGTAATTCAAAGTAGAACCGCCACTGTACAATTGAAATAAAATATTCTGCTTTTGTAAAATAAAGAAAATAAACATGGTGTGCGGTCTGCCTCTCCGTCTCCATGAACTTTTTACAGCAAATACTATTCACTCAGGCATGAACAGTATATGTGTATAATCATTTAAATTTGTACTAAAACTAAAATAAATATTCTCTGTTAAACAATATTCTCTAAAAAATACAAAGATGTACAATATACATGTTGCTCACATATTATGGTAGCCGTGTTTCTGGTAAATAGTGTGTAATTTCACCTGTGCCATTAATATGTTTATAAGCAACTGGAAAAAGCACAAATGCTGGGGCATCTCAAAACATCAAGGACCCCAAAAACACCCTAGACCTCAGAGAGTTAAGTGCTTTGTTCTAATCGTGTTATTGAACAGTGTCTGTAAACTGCACAAAGACTGTTTAAATATGAATTGCGTGTCTGTGTGTGAATGAATGAAATGGCACAGATAAGTGTGCAATGTTGTTTACATATGTACATTGCATCTGAGCATTCATTTACTCACGCTCCTACATTAGTAGACTTTATTTTTACATGAACACATCCAAACTCAGGGCTCCAGACTAACTTTTTTTACTAGGAGCGCTGTTGCCCCTGACTGAAAATTTTAGGAGCGCAAGCAAAAAATTTAGGGGCACACCTTAAATAAGCTTGCAATGCAATTATTCAAATTTCCCACAAAATAACTGTAATACTGACAAATTCTTTAATAATAAATAGACTTAACATTATGATATGCTGTTTTATTTTAACTTCACAGGGCTCCAGACCCAAAGTTGAGGGCAGCATCACCTCAAATGAGAACTCACAGTTCTATAAAAAAAAATAAAAAAATCTGGTAGCACTGGGGCTAACAATAAATCACTAAGCTTAATTTAGGGTGTAGATGAAATTAACTTTAGTTTTTATCATTTATAATGTCTTAATAATAATTAATAAAAGTAGTGAAAATATTATATGGAGTGAAAATAGCCAATAAACATCGTACTGTTTACAATGGTATTAATTTTATTATTTTAATTGTTTAAATAAGAGTTTTCCAACATCTTAAAATTTTTCGTTTAAGGACAATCTTTAAAGGATGAACAAAAAATGTGTTGGTATGGTAATCACATAAAAAATACAAAAAAATAAAACATTTATATATGATATTATTGAAGTGCTGGGAAAGGATGTGTAGTAGGCTACTTACACATTATCATATTTATGGTAAGAGTTGACTTGCCTAAATTCATGGTTCTGTTATGCTGATTTGTGGACTGAAAGCCTTCTATAAGTGTTTTTCCTGGTTTCCACGTCAGCGCTGTTTGATCTGATATGGTTTATAACAGAACTCTGCGCCGAATCGGAGTGTTTCTCACTGGATCTCGTGGTGTTGATGTTATTAATTCTGAGGCGAATTCAATGGATTTCTTCACTGGCTCTCCTAGTAACAGTGTTGCGTGAGCGAGATCGGCCCGCGACTGGCAAGTTCGGGGCTTTATTTTGTCAATGGTTCGGATCGCTGCTGCAGCTCCACTGTCCTAATCATGCATGAGTGGCGTATTTTCGTTCCACTTTCATTTTGTTTGCATTCGTTGCTAGGTAACGACTAAAGAGTCGATAGATCGCTGATTGCTCAGACGCACATCAGTTTGTGATATTTGTTTCCGTCTCCTTCCCACAAACGTTTACGCGCGCTATTCTTGTCACGGATTCATTGACGCGCCTCTTCCACGCTTTACCATGCGTTTAACGTGTGGCAAATTTACTGGTCGCACATGTGCGACTGGATGTAAAATTCAGTCGCACACTCTCAATTTTTGGTCGCAAAATGCGACCATTTGGTCGCAGTCTGGAGCCCTGAAACTGTATTACTATATCCTACTGAGATTTGTTCTAATCACGATATAGAATAGCGTCTGTAATGACAACATTTTGTTGACTAGTTTTGGATAGATTATAAAGTTTTTACCCTAATATTGAGTTGACTAACCTAAAAAATATCAAAGTTTACATTTGATTCAGTGGGATTTTTTTTTTTTACTTCACAACAGTGAACTGTCTGCCACAATTAAATAGCAACATAGAAAAGTAACAAAACTACAATCAAATCAAACAATCAAAAAGTAACAGCAAACTAAAATCAAATACATTTTGAAATAGAAAATTTTGTTGTACCGTGACCCCAAGAATCAATTTAAATCAAATTGAGAGGTTCCAAACGATTCCCACCCCTATTACAGTGCATACTTTTCACTTTGGTTTAACAAAACATTTCTTTTATCAGGTAGCATTCCTGCAATGATGCAGGACGATCCAGATCAGTACAATGACTGTGCTGCAGTCTTCAAGTCAGGGAACAAGGAAAGCGGGGTCTACTCATTGACCATACCTGATACAAAACAGCAGTTCAAGGTAACGTCGATCAACTTAATAGTCAAAAGTAGTAAAATACCAGCAAAATACTATATAAAAGACATTGATATTCAAAGCAGTACTATCATATCAAACATTAGAAAATTAAAATGTTCTGATTTACTTCACCGTGTGTTGTACTGACCATGTACAACATTCTTTTTTTATCCACAAAACACCAATGGCTGAATGCCAAAGTCACTATTTTCCATATAAGTGGATAGTAATTTGATTGCTCACGAAAACTTGAAGTCAGGTCTAGATCTAATTTCCTCACTCGAACCCTAATTTTTCTGCCTACACTGTACTTTCAAAGACAATTAAACCAAATTATAAATGTTTAATTAAAAAATGAAGCCTTTAGATATTACCAATGCCAAAAGCCATTGTTTCTCGGTCATATGCCTGATCACAAGAAAGCTTTGAAAACACAAATACAAAAGTGAATATCCATGAACTTTTTTTCAAAACTGAACTGACAAAATGCATATTTTTTTCTGTTATCACTGTGAAGCTGCTTTGAAACAATATGTATTGTATAAAGCACTATTAAAATAAAGGTGACTTGATTATCATATAAAGTATAAGGAGACTTAAAACACTAAACACTAGAAACACTAAAGCAAAGAGACACTAAAAAAATACTTAAATTGTGCAGTTTTCGAGCTTGAAAGTAAAATAAATAAATAAATAAAGAGAGAAAAGAAAAGTATGGACATTTTGCCAAATAACCTTTGTGTTTTAAGAATATAATTAAAATATATGGTTTAAATAACGGAAGGGTGCAAGAGCAACCCTTTTGCTTAAGTTCTTAATGCGCTTCCTCACTGAGAGACATTTTCTAAGAAACCTTGTTTTTTTTTTTTAAAAGTAGTGAAAGTCTGCCAATTTAACATTATTTTTAGCATTCTGAGAAAGTTGCCAAAAAAGTTATTTGTTTATTTTATCCTGGAAGAAAGGCATGACATGTGATTCAAGTTTATACAGAACAGGCATGAATGATTACATTTTGCTTTTTATTTAAATTTAGTTTTTTTTTTTGTTTGTTTCCAGGCCTACTGCGACATGGAAATAGATGGAGGTGGATGGACAGTAATACAGAAGCGCTTCAATGGCATTGTTGATTTTCATCAAACATGGAAAAATTACACAATGGTAAGGATTTTATTGCGCTTACATTTTTCTTTGGACATTTCTGACAGTTTTACACTGATATGAAACATGGATTTTCTGTATTTCCAATTCAGGGGTTTGGAGACATCTCAGGTGAACACTGGTTAGGGAATGAAATCATCTCCAAGTTGACACAAGAAAAACAACATGTCCTCAGGATAGATCTGACAGACTGGGAGGGGAACACAGCCTTTTCAAAATATGACCAATTCTCACTTGATGGAGAGAAGCAGAATTACAGGTGAAGAACTACCCCGTGCCTTCATATACCTCAGAATTTTGTGACTCCTTGAGTGTTTTTCATAGTATATGCTGTGTGATGGTAGAATTTTGCAATATCCAAGCATGTGATTAGCTAAAGACAAAAAAAGAAGGAAAATCTATGAATTTTGAAAGGTGGTTGGTGCCTGTTGCATTCCCAAATACAAATTATAAGCGATTTACAGATTTTAATTTTATAAACATCTTATAAACACACAGCACTTACAGAGTAGCGTTTACCATGAATCGAAACTGAAAATGAACGAATTATCCACAGAGCGAATGGTACTGAAACATGCAGTGTGACTTTACTTATAATTACAACAGCAATTTGATGATCGCACGAACGTTCCCTCTAAACTGTGTGCGTGCGCACTGCGCAGTCGCACACTTCTGATGCTGCGGCCGCACAGAAGGAATTTCTTGGTAAAGACTGGTACAGTAAACAGCACTGTAAAACAAAACATGTTTGTTTTCAAAAATATGATTTAATACCAATTTAAGTTGCATCAAGGTTCAATTAAAATAGAAATGGCAGATTCAAGTTAAAATTCATGTTTTTATGTATGCTGTGAAAGTGGTATATAAAGAATGTTTTTGCTCAGGTGGTAAAAAAAAATATCCACCCAATAGAGAAAAGTTTTGCTTAGCAAGAATTTTTTTAATTCAAAATTAAAGGAACATTTGAAATTCTCACAACCATGCATTGTCAAAATTTATAAAAAGTTACCAGGCAACTGGCGGATATCAGTTTTAATGTAGATTTTCTCGCAATAAGTTATTTGAACTCTGGCCTGCAGATGATGCCACGAGCTTGTGCAGTGCTGTCAGGACCAATCCGTGACATGTTATATGTATTAGAAAATATAACATTTTGCAGTTTATTTAGTAGTTTGTTTAAAGCAATTTCGTGATTTCAATCACACAGTAAACCAGTAAAAACTATTTCTTTCTCGGATTTATGTAATTCACGGTGGACATTCTATTCAGGTCGGAAAATAAAGAAAGCCGTATAAACATGAGAAAATCACATCCCTGTATATTGTTTGTGAATATCTGGATCAGTACGCCGGTACTAAGAGTTCTAGTTAAGCACATTGTGAAGCAGAGTTTAGTTCTTTACCAACATCAAAACTAACCACATTATTATTCATAATCAAATAATTGATGTGCTGTCATATCTGTGTGTATATCAGCTATTTTACAATACCTACATTTAATTCATTTTCATTAATCTTTTTGGTTTGTGACCATAAGTAAACATCAGTATGCTCTTATGTTTGAAGTAAAATGCCAGGAAGCTACGAGTTAGCTGTTGATTTGGTACACACCCATGTTTACACTGCTGTTCATTCTGCTATTAAAACTCTAGAGGGCTGGCACACTATTGTCACAACTCCAAAGAAAATATTTTGAAATCTGGAAATATTGATAGTCTATGTAATGTAAAAACATGAAAACAGTTCCCTGAACAACTTTCGGCATCTCACCCCCAACAAGCTAGTGGATAATTAGCCTAATTAATTTTGTAATATCATCAAAAAGATGAAGGATATATAGAAAGGCTCTGGACTGAAAGCTAGTGAGCTGTCTACTGCCTCCATAAGTACAGTAACTGCCTTGTAAATGCCTCAATATACTTCAAATAAAATCAAAGAGCACAATGATATGAGGCATTTTGAACAAAATCCGTGGCTATAACATAGGTGTGTGTGGAGGCTCTGCTGCGCCTTTCATGTTGAAATCTTTTCTGGTTAATTTAATAGAAAACATGAACACGCTGGAATAATGCTTCATAATAGAAAATGAAGTTATACTTATAAAGAAACAAGACACTGTTTAATACGGTATACCTGCTTGATTATAACCCCATGGGGACCAAAAACGCGTCCCTGCTTTTTGATCGTTTTTTTTTTCTTTCACATAGCTGCAACATAGACTTAAAATACTCCGTCATTAATGGTCATATAAATAAAATCAATACATAATTATAAACTATATCGGGTCTTCTTTTTGTGTACACTCTAATGAACATCAAAACCTTGTGTTTTTGTAAAATAAATAAAATAAACAGGGTGCGCTTTCAGCTCACTCTGTCTTCGCAAAAATCTTTCTGAAACGTGTCTGAAAAATGAACTGTAACTTTAAATACTTGTCACAGAGACACGAAAGATTTCTCTTCATGAAGCTGAAATTCTCTTCTATTAAATGAAGTAATTTATATAAAAAACAACTATTCTCAGTTGATGTGATCTGTATGAAAAGAGAGAGATGTCTTTCCTTTCACCTAATTATAGCGTATGACGTGTTAATGTGACCCTGCCATCTGAGAGGGCATGCTATTCAAACGCTAATGTTGAGGCAAGCCATGAACACACACCTAACCTTTACCTCGTGTTGCTGCGCTGTGAGCAATAATACTGTCATAATAATCCTGGAAAAGTTACCTCAGTTACCTGTTTCATTTCGAGGACTGATTCAGCTGATGTAAGTCATTTATTCTTAAGTGCTTTGTTCTAATCAAGTTATTGAATAGTGTCTGTAAACTGCACACAGACTGTTTAAATATTAAATGTGTGCACAGACAGACGTTCGCGCGCTGTGCGTTCATTCACTTTCGGTTCTACATTAGTAAGACTATAGCCTGACTTCTTCATACTCATATTCTAGTGAGAATATGAGTCTGAAACCGCTCCGTAGGGCTTTGATTATGAGGCGGGTCTTAACCGAACCAGGAAAAAAAAAAAAACTCTGCACTCAATTGGATAGTCGGCAGACCTACAACCAATCAGAGCAATGCAGTAAGTCAACTCCTTTGCATAGCGCAGTTTCAACTACAGAACTTATTTATTTTTAATAGTTAAATAATGAGTGTTGCTTCTTTTACTTATTTCTCCATGAGTGTGACCAAAGGAGAAACCACAACGACCACAGGCTTTTCCACAGGCCAGCTGATAAGTTACACTTTTCCCGAATCATGTAGGAAGGACGCCAAAAATATCTTTCTGATTGACAAATGCTAGTAAGACAATATAGACTACTGAGATTTGTTCTATACTGATCTGTAAAACCAAACAGACTGTTTAAAGAGCATCTATCATGGATTTTTGAAAATAACTGTTCATGTAGTGTGGAATATAGCTCTAAGGGAATGAAAACATACTGCAAAGATTTATATCTGAAAGAGCACCGTATATAAAGTTATTGTCTTTCAAAAGCGAGAGTCGACTCTGAGTCTATGAAATGAATTGTTTTTGAAACGAGTCATTAGCTGTTACGTTGTGAGGTAGATACAAAACATTAGCTCATTGGCCGCTCCTAACAACTGCGCGTGCAGACGTGAGTGTAAACTTGAAGTCTAGTCTAGAACACATTCAAAAACTTCAGCTGAATAGCATCATGTCGAGAAGACGCTGTGTTCTACATTGCAAAGACAGTTCAGCCAATTGTTTTCATTGCCCAGGGACGAGCATGTGAAGAATCAGTTACGTTGTGACGTAGATACAAAACATTAGCTCATTGGCCGCTCCCAACTAGTGTGCGCGCAGACGGGAGTTTAAACTTGAAGTCTAGTCTAGAACACATTCAAAAACTTCAGCTGAATAGCATCATGTCGAGAAGATGCTGTGTTCTACATTGCAAAGACAGTTCAGCCAATTGTTTTCATTGCCCAGGGACGAGCATGTGAAGAATCAGTGATTAGAGTTCATATTTGCAACGATACAACAACAGTACAACACCCGAACCTTGTGTTCTCATCATTTTAATCATGACGAATCATTCAAAAACATAAATGAATTCAAATGTGGATTCGCAAGCCGGTTGTTCCCGAAGGAGGGCTCAGTATCCAGTGTATATGGATTAGGTTCGTCCTCCTCCGAATCACAATCTGTAAGTATTATTAATAATGTTTGGTGTTATGTTTTCTGTAGCATGCACAATATAGTTACATTGTGTTTTGTGTACACTCTGCGCAGCTTCTAAGCGGGGTAAAGTTAGTTTTGTTTTTGATATTCACCAGACATTCATTGAAAAATGGCAATTACCGCCTAAACGACTTAGCCAAATATGACTTCGCTCTATATAATAAGCACTGTCCCTCAAAAGCCACCGCAATGTGAGTTTCGCCGGGAAAGCTTGCTCTTGACAGAGATGCGAGTAAGGGGCCGTGTGAAAAGTGCACTTTTTCTGACACGTTTGTTCAAACACTACATACAATTTTCAACACTTGACAAGCTATAATCCTGGTTATGGGCGTTCCGTTGCCGACAATCTCTGCCTACGGTTTACCAATAATAACTAACTGGGACATTTGACCAATCGCCGCAGATTCGCATCACTCAAAGGAGGTGTTTGGGAAAATGAATCGTCGAACGAAACATTTGGGAGTCGTTGAGCAAATCGGGTAAAAATAAATACATATTATAAGACAAATAAAAATTTTTTTTATCCTTGCATGCATGTTTAACTGTTTTTGGGAACTCCCAAAACAAAAGCAGGAACATTTCAAATGCTATGATAGGGGCTCTTTAAATATGAATCGGGTGTGTGAACGAACGAACGGACAGCCTACAGTTACAGACTAAATCGATTATAAAGTTTTTACTATAAAATAGACATCAAATAAGCTTTAGTTAGACAGTTTCTGCTCATATGTTAAATATATGTTTTGTCAAAAATAAACTAATCAACTGTTATAAAATGTAAGCTAAAGCAATGCACATATCAAAATAATGAATCTTTAACTTTGAAATATGTATGATAAAATGTAAATGCATGGGCTACTTTAAAAGTAATACTTCATATGGAAAGTATTATAAAAGCAATATACTTTGTATACTGGACAGTTGGGGGCGATAGAGTGATTGAATTGGAGACTCCAAATTTGATATGACTTTTCAGTGACTTTTTGATGTCCTCTATCAATGTACCATTGTACCAAAAAGTTTGGGTAACACTTTACGGTAAGGGTACATGAAT